TGCGTTTGCAGAAGCACCAATGATGCTGTGGCATATGTCAAATGCCCAGTTTTAAAAAAACAAAATCAAAACAGAAATGTGTTGTTAGCTAGCTGCTGGTTAGCATCGATAGCGCCTTGAGGCGACTGTTGTTGTGATTTGGAGCTGTACAAATAAAGTTGAATTGAATCTCCTGCTGTTAGAAATGGGTTGGTGGTCTCTTGCCTTCCATTACTGAACTAAGTACAGCATGGTGACATGTTTATACTCTACACTCGGCTCTAACATAGCAGCATTCATTCCCAGTAGTTTGTAGTGGAGCAGGTACGTCACATTAAAAGCTCTTTTTGTTTTGTGTGGTTTCCAGCAGGAATCAATATTACGAGCTCCAAAACAGATTTTTGCTTCTTCTTCCAGCAGCCGAGTCAGCTAACAAATCCATGTTCTAGTGTTTTAGTGACTAAGATGATTAATCACAAGCATCACTCTGAATAATTCCTATATTGAACTCTTTCATCATCTCTCATCTGTTTGTGTCGCGAGTCATCATAGTTTGTATTTTAAACGTACTCCGGCTGATTCCAATAAAGTACTTCCAGTTGTTTCTTCTACGTCTGAACTTCACGTCGAGCTGAATTGTTGTACTTTTTGCTGCGCTATATTTTTCTGACAGCTTTATTAGTCTGCAGAAGTGTACAAATAAACTGCAGTGTTTTACATACATGAGATAAATGTGAAGAGTGCGTTTGAATTCTGTTAGAACTGCAACATTTTTACTTTTGCTAGTTGAAGTATATTGTAGTATTATGTTTTACAGTGTGGTAAATTTAACATCAGATTTAATGCTCCTCCTGTTTTGCCTGCAGCAGACTTGGAGTAATGTGTGATTTGGTCATGTGAGCATATTTGATGACATCATTATTATTATATCCTCCAAACATGTAGTCCATATCTGAACTTTTTGCAGTTTTTCTGTCATCTGTAGTGAATTACACCTTCATGAACTTTACGCGCCGCTGTGATTGATTATCATTACCTCCACAAATACAAATAATCCTTTAAAAGTTTCTCTGTGGACACATTTTTGCAGGAAATTCTTCAAACTGAGTGAATTGCGTGTCACTTCGGTTTTCAGCGCCTGCAGCAGCCATCCTGCTGCATGGAGCCGAATCTGTCTTCTGGTCTCGCTGCCCTTTGGCCAGTCATGTAAATAACATCTGTCAGTTTACACACGGCGTAACGTGGCCGTTTGCACACCTGAACAGTTTAATGTGAAACACACTCGGATCATTTCACCGAGCTGCTCACTAATCTAACAGATGAACCTGGTGCTGATCAGAGAACTGGACCAAAGTGATTCTGTGCAAGCAAGAGGAAAAATCTCAGCATTAGGGATTAATTATCAGCAAAGCTGATCCACGTTTTAATTTGAGTCTATGTGGAGACTGACTCAGGGCTGGAGCCTCGAGTGGACGTTAGAGGAACTGCAGTTTCTGCTACTCTGTTAGCTTCGTCCTCCACTCCTGGAGGTTTTGTAGCTTGTTTTACTTGAAGTTGCTCCGATTCAGCATGTGTTTAACATGTCAGCCCCACATGGACTCGGTGGATGTGTGCTCCCACACACGGGTGGAGGAGATTTCTAACTGAGCTGTAACAACATCAGGAATCATCTGGGCCTCGTCTCCGTTTCCTTCTCTTTCCTGAGCCAAATTTTCTGGGTCTGTCTGACTCCTCCTCCTCGTCTATCTCCACCTTCTTTGCTCTTCTCTCTCCTCTTCGTTCCCCACCATCCGCCCCTCTGCTTTTATCAGTGCCACTGCCGTTTTTGAGTTGACGGTCCTCGCTCTCTGTCCCTCTGCCACTTTTATCTCTCTTCATCTCTCTCTGCTCGTTGCCTCCCCGCCCTTCTCTCCATCTTTGGCTTAAATCAACGTGACTGCTTGTTTTCTCTCCTGCTCTCATTCGTCCTCTCTGCCAAGATGCCAATTAGTGTGTAAAATACAAACTCTGTGTGTCTGCATATAAAGAAAACGTGGAAGCACAAATCAGATGGATTTGGGTCATCGGTGCTTTCACAGCCTCATAAATCCTTCAGATTTCCATCCTGGTTTTATTTTTAATGCCAAAACGTTGCCAGATTTGACATTCCCCATTAAATAGTGACTTTTACACCACCACTGGTGATCTTATTTATTATAAACTGATGTGAATGGATTGAATTAGACTTGGATCAAACACTTTTAGAAGTTGGACAGATTTCCAATTACCCCAAAAAGTCCAATAAATGAAATAATAAGTCTTTGCTCCACTTAAACTTCTCTACACTTAAAGCTGGAGTTCGTACTGGGGACATGCGGGGTGGGATTAGCCTTTGAGAGGCCAGTGCAGCGTGCGACTTTGACTTCCAGCTTTGCATTTGATAACCCGTGCATGGTAAATGAGACTCTCTTTTCCCCCGGCTGCTGTGTTAAACATATTCCTGACATTTTATTCGTCCGGTCGCTTCACTCCACGGCTTTAATTTTCAGACATCACCTGGAGCGTCAGTGAGGAGGCGTGAGGTCGCTGGGTCAAGTGAAGGATCAGTTGTGCAATATGAGCTCATTTCCTGCTGACTTTGCCACTGTGGGACCTGTGTGTGTGTTTGTTTCTCTCAGATCCTCCAGGTGAACTTCCATCCACTTGTTTTATGCATTTTTGATTTTGTGGCTAAAAAAGGAAAACGTTCTGAGTGGAAACACCATCCATCCAGAAAAATCTGAGAATCCTGCAGATGCTTGAGGCTTGGCTAAACTGGAAAATTCACCTGGGTGTGTCAGATTGTCTTGTGTCTTTGTTCCTTTGAAATCCTCTAAATAAATGCTACAATGATGAAATAAATGACGACACACGCATCGGCTTTGGTGCTGCTGGAGAGACGTCGACGTCAGTGACAGAGCTGCAGCATTAACACGTAAAATCAGTAGAAATATCATGCTTCCATTACGTTTTAGCTTTTTTAACGGTTTGAGCTTCAAACTGAGTTATTCTTATATCCTCTGAGCAGTTTTGGAAAACCCAGGTTGGAATAGTTTCTTCACTTTTCCCTCCTCACATGAAACACAACAGTCTCACTGCTGTGAATGCTCAGTGTGGTCGGGCGAGGCTGCTGCCTGGACAGAGCGCGAGGCAGCCTGGTGCGTAGCGAGTGG